TGCTCCCCTCACTAGCAAACAGTTTCCATCATGGGTCACTGGAGACCCCTGCTGGGAAGACCCCATCCGTACCACAGCAAGGGAGGGAGTGGATCAAGCTTTCCACGGGCTCATGCTCTGAACTTAATGGTGCTTGAGTGTCTGCTGGAGGTGGTGGAGGAAAAATAATTAATTCCACCCCCACCCCCAGCAAACCAGGGAAACCATCCCCTTGCATTTCTATGAAATGACTGTCCTGCACAGCTTCAGTGTCTGGCAGACTTTAAATCATTTCTGTAGTCAGAGCTTCTCTCTGTTCTGTGGACCATCCAGTTCTCCGCCTTGCTTGGGCAAATAGTTCTCAGGAGATCAGGGTATCATAGAAAATAATGGTTATAGGAAGATCAGAGTCGTTGGATATATCTAATCCAACTCCCTATCCAGGCTAGGAACTGTTCCAAAGGATCTCCTCTGCTTGGTATTTTGCCCATTATAATGTTTTCTTTCCCTGCATGCAACCCTCTTGTTTTTGAAAGCATCCCACTGCAATTAGAGTTTTAAGCCAACTTGATGGCTGGTAAATCCCAGCATTTCCACCTGACTATTGTCAGCAGGCAGTTCTTCCACGTTCCACCCACCTCTGATGCCTGCTGTCTCCATCTTGTCTGTGTGCCATAGAAGGCTGTGGAAAATGCCCTTCCCCCAAAACTTGTGTAGACAGTGGAATAATTGAAAGGACATTCATTGATAATCCCACTCTATGCTGCACTGGTCAGACCACACCTGGAATACTATGTCCAGTTCTGGTCACCCCAATACAAAAAGGATGCGGAGGAACTGGTGAGAGTGCAGCGAAGAGCAACAAAGATGGTGAGGGGCTCGGAGGCTATGAAGAGCTATTGAAGGAACTTGGTACGTTTAGCTTAAAGAAGAGAAGATTTATTCAATTTGTATGGCCACCCATCTCAACAAGTGACTCTGGGCGGCGAACAAAATTGATCACCTTTTGATTTCTGGTGGGTTGAATGAATGGCCTGTGTAGCTCTAAATATCACCCTGAATTCACCATCCTGTCTTTAGTTGCTGGACTGAGAGTTGAGCAAGTCACGCAATCACAGGGTTGGACTTCTAGTCTAACTTCTTCCCAGCAAAGAGCACCATTCAGCTCCCACAGAAAAGTTCAATCTCCTGTTGAGGAAGGTCTTGCTTTTTAATTAATTTAAGAGCAGTTGAAGGAACTGGGTATGTTTAGCTTAAAGAAAAGAAGGCAAAGGGGAGACATGATTGCAGTCTTCTGATATCTGAAGGGATGTCCCAGGGAAGAGGGAGCAGATTTATTCTCTAGAGCACCTGATGGTAAGACGAGAACCAGTGGGTGGAAGCTCTGCAGGGAGAGATCCAAACGTGAACTAAGGAGGAATTTTCTGACTGTGAGAGCTTTTAAGCAAGGAACAGCTGGCCTCCTGCAGGTGTGGGTGCTCCATCACTGGTGGTCTTCAGGAAAAGACTGGACAGCCATTTACCTGGGAGGATCTGAGGATTTCTCCTCTGAGCACAGCGTTGGGCTAAAAGACCTCTGAGATCACCTCCAACCCAATGATTCTGTGATTTATTTATTTGCTTGCTTGCTTATTAGATTTTTATCTTGTCTTCCCTTCAGGAAATCTCCCTCTTCCTATTTTTATGTACAACAAGGAACCTGTGAGGTAGGCTGGGCAGATAAAGAGGAACTGGCCCAAGGTCATCTATAGAGCTTCTGTGGCTAAGAACACAGAAGGACTTGGACCAGGATCTCTCCAGCGCCAGTGCAGTCCCTGAATTGCCGCATCACACTGGCTTTCCCTGTCCTACTATCTGAAGCTAAAATCCACCTAGCTTTGGAATTCTGCATTGCCAGTCCTTTGCCACTTCCTTGCTTGCCCCTTGTGGTCTAGGCTCAAGTTAATAGGATGCCTTCAGCCTGGCAGAGTTTTGCAGGCCAATGGAGTACCAGCAACCCGAGTGCTTCCAACCTCTGTCTCTTCCCAGCTCAGATGCTCTCTGCAAAGTGCCTTTGACAACTGTCAAGCCGCCCTCCAAATGGCGTGATCCGCATGCAAAAGGCCAGGTTCCAGCAGCACAGAGCCCGGAAACGCCTCCCCGATCCATTTTAGCAGGCAGGAGAGGAGAATCAATTCCTGTCACTCACAACTAAATCTGCAGGAACAGGATTATGGATCTGGGGCCTTTGGGCAGCACTTTAATCTCAAAATCAATGCTGAGAAAGAAGCCAGTTTGGGGAAAGGTAACAGAGCGGGCATAACTTTGATGAGGTTTTGAAACTTCAAATGCAGACGTGTCTGACGCCCTTGTCTTTGTGATGAGGGGTGAGGGAGAAGGGCTCACCTGTCACAGCCGGTACAATTTCCTGCCCAGAGGACTTGAATTCGATATATAAACAGAAGCAAGTCGCAAAAGACTTTCCAGCTTCTTGCTCTTAAGTACACAGCTTAACAAGTCACCTTACCATCTCAGTGGGGTTCGTATTACCTTGGGGGTTCAGTTGCATCCCATGACCGTGGACTGAGGACTGGCAAGCACATGGGCAGGCTGTAAAACCAGTCCGTCCTCGAACACTGTGCAAGAATCCTGGTTTTGTCCAGGAGAATAACTAGCCAGCTGCAAGCAAGTCAGAGTCAGCATTTCTTGGGAAGGGGTACCAAAAGCCCTCTCAGAAGCAGAGTTCTGGTTATCCTAATTGAAAACTTTTTTTTTTAAGTAAAAGATGGAGGCTTTGGCTCATTTGGGAGAAAGCTGGAGGTGTTTTAGTACAAGTAATATGTTGATGAATAGAAGAACATGGTATGGAGTGGGGAGAGCAAAATTTTCTCTTCTCCTCCTAACAGCCGGTCTCTAGGGCTCCAAACCACACTGAAAAATTAAAGACAAAAATTTTTAAAAACTACATGTCTAGGAGTCAGTTCAGTTCAAAGGCGACTTTACCTAATAAGCTGAGATGGCTTTAAAAAGAGATTTTTGAACATTAGAGAATGGTAAACCTCCCAGAGCATCGCTAGCAATTAGCAATGAATATTGTACCGCTGGATATCATTTGCCAGGGAATAAGCAGTGGAAGGAGGAGGACTCTTGCTCAAATATTCCTTGCAAGCTTTCTGGGAGCATCTGCTCAGTCTAGCACCATTCCCACCCCACCCCAATTCCCTCCATACATATATATATATATGGACTACAGTTCCTAAGTACTGTAGCTACTCATTCTGCCATCCCAGCCTGAGAAATGCTCTCCATTCTGAGTTAAGGATGGGCGGGTAATATATTTTAAGGAGCTGACCTTTCAAAACACACATTTCAGAATGTATTCCCTCTTAAATTTTGCATATTTATACAGTTTTCAATGTATTATATCAGCACTATGTTAGAACATTGGAAAAGGGCAAAAACAGTGGAAAATTTATCCAGATGTTATAGAACCAGGCCTTTGTACAATAAAAGCTTGACTTTTATGGCCCCTCTTCAGCAGACTTTGGATGCTGCAAACAAAATCTAAACTTTGACTTTGTCCCTAAAGTCTGCTATTTGGCAAAGCTGTTTAAACAGTATTCACATCTGCATATATGTTAGCATTTATTTTATTTATCATATTTATATAGCTGCCCTTCTTGCAAAAAAATTACTCTAGACAGTGCACAATAAAAACAATGGTAAAATCAAAATATTAAAACAAGTACAGTTAAAAAGACATTAAGCAAAGCATCATATCCACAGAATTTGGTCAAAAAAGAGTGTTTAAGAGCTTTTGTGTTACTGAAAAAATCCCTTCGAATTGGCTTTAACAGACATTTGGCTTTAACGGACGTTAGGCTTTAATAGACCCTCTTTCCTCCCAATTGGTTTTCTTTCTTATTATTTCCCAGTAGCTGGTCATAAATAGAGATCATGTATGTGCCTTTAACAAACAGTCTTTAGCCACTATTTCCCATGCCAGAATCAAGACAAGCTTTCAGGGCTGTCTTTTCCCCAGCATCTAATTGCCCTTTCTCCTCAAAAGATGCTAAAGTCTTCACTCTCCCAGTCAAGGGCTGCATTTTCATTAGAGGTATAGAAATGCAACTCACTTGATGTATCCACGTACAGCACATAATCTTCTATCGTAGGTTGCTTAGGATCTCTGATGTCCTTCTGCATCCCAGAGCTCTTCTGGCGTCAGTTCTTTGACATACTCTTTTACTCTTTCCCTTGATTTTGTTGTCTTTTCATACTACGGAGTCTCTGGAGTTCTCTGAGCTTGGTTGTTTTCTTGCAAACATTTCATTACCCAGCTAGGTAACATCTTCAGTGCTAGAAGGGAGTGGGGTTTGCTCTCTGCTTATATACAGTAGTTTGCCCTGTCAGTGTTTGCATTTTCCATCTTCAGTTACAGTGTCCTAGAAGTTGGGGGTATCATCATCATCATCGTGTGCCATCAAGTCATTTTTGACTCCGAGCAACCACATAGATAGATTTTCTCCATGATGATCTATCCTTAACCTGTTCTTCCAGCTCTCCTAACGGTACCCCCATCACCACTGTAACTGAGTCCCTTCACTTTGCTGCTGGTCATCCTCTTCTTCTCTTTCCTTTCATCTTTCCCAGCATTAGACCCTTTTACTGCACTGCAACTTGTAAAGGTCCGATTCAGTCTTGATTACCCCTCAGTTCAATCCAATGGCCAGTTTTGGGTAGTAACAAAACAGTAAAGTTCTTAATACCAGTGGGAAGGGACAGAAATATTGAAGTCCACTTGTACATTTTCCTGGGGAGCCTGGATGCCCATTGCAGGAAACTTAGCGCTGGACACGGTGAGCCTTTGGTCTGATTTAGCAAAACTTTGTCTGCATTCTTATACTACCGAGTGGTAGCATTAGTTACAATTAACTACTGCCTCAGTTCACTTGTTGCATGTTTCAATTCTGCTTGGAAAGGGCTTGAAAAAGGATTTTCTTGACTCAGCCTCCCCGTGTGACTTTTCTTTTTATTATCAGAGCACAGTAATTGTGGAAAAAACAGTCCAGGACCTCATGAATTTGATGCACGACTTAAGCGCCTACTCGGACCAGTTCCTGAACATGGTGTGTGTTAAACTCCAGGAATACAAGGACACCTGCAATGCAGCTTACAGGTACGGGTTGCTGGAGGATGTTGTGAAAGGGGACTTTCTTCCCGATATGAGAGAGTCGTCCTTGAGAATGTGGAGCTTCTTGCTTAGGAGAAAGAGCTTCGGGGAATCGTCGCAGAGCTTTCTCAAACCGTGGATGGGGCTGGAGAAATAAAAAGGAGGGGGACTTTTCTTCTTCTCTCCTAATCCTAAAACTCAAGGTGTGATCAGCAGTAAGAAACACCCATCCTTCGAGACCCCCAATTCTGGTGAGATGTGTTAGTCAGGATGGATGTCAAGCCTCAAATCGGTGTTAGGAGAACAAAGGTGCGGCTCGGTCTGCGTTTTGCAGTTTTAACCCCTTGAGATAAAAGGAGCAAATATAGCTTGATCTTTCAGTCAAGAGATACAAAAGCACAGAACTGTAAATGCTTCTAAGAATCAAGAGCATCCTCTTCACTGCTTGTAAAATTATAGAGGGAATAGGAGTAAAAGGTCATTGTTGCCATAATTTTGTTTTCTTTGAGCGAAAAAGAACTTGGCACACACGTAGACTAACCTCTAACATATCCGTGAACAGAAATGCATAGGCTGATGAGAAATTCCATTTCGTTATAAAGGCTGACGGTAAATTAATAAATTAGCTCTCTGACCAGCTTTCTTAGAGAAGAAAAATGTTCTAGGCTTTGGTAACGTATCATTTTTATGCATTTTAAAGTTTGCACGATCCATCTAATAGCCTCAGTTTTTATGGAGATTTAGATCCTTACCATATATTCCGAATAAGGCAAAACAGGATAAGATAGACTATTTCTGATTCACAGGCTTTATTTGGGAGATGGTTTATCTTTACTCAGCAACTCTCAAGCTATGAGTCCCAGTCATGTTTCAATAAGATTTCAATCTCCAGGGAAAAAGCATGACCTACATCAGAGGAATGTCTGGATTTGCAAATTCGTGCTAAATCAGTGAATCTGGAACTTAGTTGAATCCTGAGCTGTGAGGCAAGACCAGTAGTCCTGCTTGTTTCAGTTTTCTCCCGTTCCATTGATACAGGACCGTAAATCAAACACAGTTTAGAACTTCAAAAGCAAATAGGAAAAATATAATTTTTCCCAGTTTTGTGAAAGAATGAATTAAGTTTTTTGGATTTTTTTAACAAATCCGTAGTTACAAGGAGAGAGGGCTGCCTTCGGAGTGTCAAAGGCAAGATTCCCAACTTCCTGAGCCCTGATGTATATAAATGCATTCAAATGTAAGTGACCAACTGACCCGTTCCCCCCCCAACCCCACCACTGCTAAAGGCAGATTGAGGGAACAATAAGATGGCCTTGGAAGAGAGGCCTCTGGGCTCTCTCCAGTTGTCCATGCTCAGCAACCACACTTCCTGCTGCTTCTCAGGAAATGGCACCTGCTGTGCTGTAATTAGAGCGGCCCTGATTTCAGTGACCGATCCCTGATTACTGGAGGAAGAAATAAGAAAGGAGAGAGAATGAAGGACTTGATCTGCTAGCAGGTGCCAGATACAAATAGAAACCATTCTATTGTGTACGTGATTCAGAAGTGCATAATGGGGATAAGAGAAGTTTTGCAAATCCTCAGAGCCTGTCTGGCTAAAGGAGCACGGGAGACACAAGCGGAGAGATGAAGCTATGTAACACTCAGTGAGACCAACACTGTCCAGCTCAGTTATCTGAACTCCTTCAGTGATAGAGGCTGTCCACTGAACCTGGACTTCCCAGCCTACAAAGCTCACTCTCCATCACTGAGTTTGAGAACATCCCCATTTCCTACAGTCTGCACCCTCAGAGAACCTTTAGAGTTGGGTTGGGGAACCCAGAGGTCCATCCCAGACTTTGGGAGTTGTAGTCCAACCTCATCTCAAGAGCCACAAGTTCTCTACCCCTTCATTTTGTTGAAAGGAAGCCCCAACCCCTGAGCAAAAGCTCCTTTCCAGTAATCTTCTACTTTACTGCATGTCTTTGGGCAGAAACACATGTGCCACATCTCTTGCTGAGTTTGAAGGTCTCATATTCAGAACATCCAGTTTCGTGTATGCCATGCATTTGTGGATTGCTTCATTAGCCCCCAGAGGTTCCCCCCAATCCAAGCCCTTCTTCAGCTTTGTGTCAAGCTCTTCAGCAGCTGCCTAAAACTGAAAATGATTTTTTGCAAGCATGGGTGTTCCCCCTTCAGCAAGATTTATTGAGATGGCTGAGAGGGGGTTACAAGAATTCCAGCTGTAAGACTATTTTTCATTTAGAACCGGTATATCCCCCTGTATATGAGGGTGGGGACTTTTTTTTTTCTTTCTAACAGCCTTCTATACAGTAGGCTGGTGAGGATCCAGATGTTGTTCAGTAGAAACAGAGAAGCTTCCAGCTGGCTGTTGACAGAAAGATCTCCTGCAACTTTATCAGTCTGGAAACTGGCTCTTACACCTTGTCATTTAAGTTTGACAAGCAGGACAGGTCAAGCAAATATCTCGTTCGCTCACTATGTTAAGCTATGGAGGAAGTTGGTTTGTTTTCAGCACTATCAGTCACCTGTTCCTATGTTGTACTTCTCCCCACTCCCTTTCTCCACTCCTCCAGGGAGCCCCATCCACTACTGCAGTGCAGATGGTGATCTGTGGCTGAGTGAGCCAAGAACTAATTCTTAGATTACTGTGCTGATGTGCAGTTAAATTATCAGTAGAAGAGGAAAAATTGCACCATCCTGGGAGCGTTAGATTCTGGCATTGGTTTTAGGCTACTACTGTGTTCACACCTCTATGTCACACTACCCCAGGCCATATACAATTCCCAAAATGTCTCTCCAGTCCTATCCCTTAAATCGGTGATTCTCGAAGAATGTTCCACAGACTGATAGTCTGCAGATATATGTGAGTTCTAACATTCAGAAACCTGACAACAGTGAACATCTCTCAAGTGCAGTGACCAACTGGGAGTCTGCACATGCCATGCTATTATGTTTGTAATCCAAAAGGTCGAGTGTGATTCAGAAATATGATGGAGCGAAAGAGAGAGATGGGATTTCATTGGGCTAGAGATCTTTTCTTCCTTAGTATTCAAAGATTTCTCTTGAAAAATATTTTTAACCAACAGGTTTGTGCTGAGAGTTGTAGTTACGGCATGGAGTTGGTTGGTTGGTTGGTTTATTTAATGTGGCTGCTCACAATTGCGACTCTGAGTGGCTAACAGAGGATTAAAACCAACAGAATTAAAATAAAAACAGCCAAAGAAAAAACCCCATAACACAGTTAAGCCCAGTCCACAATCATTCCATGCTGACCATTACAAGTAGGCTCATATACCACCCTGGCCCAGTGCCTGGGGAAAAAGCCAGGTCTTGAAGGCCAGCAGAGATGGGGCCATCTGAATCTCAGGATGTGAGGTGTTCCATAGGCCATGAGTGGTGGCAGAGAAGGCATGTCTCCTGGGTCCTGCTGGATGACATTGTTTTATAAAGGGGGCCCAGAGCATGCCCACCCTGAGGATGGGTAGATTCAACAGGAGATAGGTGGCCCCAGAAATAACCTGGCCCTATACGATGATTAGATAATACGTGAAACCTGCAGAAGGAATTTTCTCAGGTCGAATGTCTAGAAGGTGCGCAGGAAGAATCTAAGTTATCTCTGAAGTGTAAAAGTTGAGAAGAAAACGGTTGTATTTATTAGACTGTGAAATAAATGCCCCAGAGAACTCACAAGCCTCATTTCTGTTGTCATTTCAGACTTGAGTAGTCAAAACACACCAGTTAGCCTAGTCTAGCAAATAGGCCCTTGATGAGAAGGAGATGGGACCAAATTGTTCTCTTCCTTCTCAGATAGCAACATTTTTCTGATATGGTTTCATCTGAATGCTAGGAAGAACTGTTGGATTTTCTACAGTATGAGAGCAGAGAGCTATTTGTTGTTCAAGGCAGCTTTTCCTTTTATATCCTTTTCAGTTTTGCATTTGGTGTAGCTCAGGGGTTGATAGTTTAGGAAATGGGAAAACACATTGTTCCAGAGAGTAGTGAAGGCTGAAACAGAGACGGAGGCTCAGGGGATCAGTGGCATTTGAAAAATCAAACGGCGTCATTTTTCTGTGGGCAGATTAAACTGCAAAATGGGTAAGAAGGATCTTGGACTCAACCAATGTGGTGATGAAAAGGCTTACACACATTTGGGTTGCAAAGAATTCTTCATCAGCCCAGCTGATTCTCAGTTTCAAAAAGTCACAATAGCCTCTCCTGCACAGAGACTTCCAGTGTTATTTATCCCCTGAGCTGGAAATAACCAACTCACTAGTACTTGGCCAATCCAGCTTTCTTTTTCTAACTGCCCCCTGGTTCTTTTTATTTTTAGGAGCATTGTCCAGTCAGATGAGAAGATGGTAATAAGCGCATCTTGGGCAAAAGATGATGATATCACTAGACTCCTGAAGTCTCTTCCAAACTGGAGCAACATGGCCCAGCCCAAACAGTTGAGATCAAAAAGGGAGGAAGAGGAAGACTTTATAAGGCAAGTTCTTCCTAAGATCCATGGATATAATCACTATTGAAGCTATTTAACCTGGACTCCATCTTCTTATTGCTGGTGTGTGAACCTCCAGTCTTCTGAATGAATAAGGACAAAGTGCTATGAGATTGCTTGTTGCCAGGAAGTTGGGCTGAACTGTGGAATGTTTTCTTTGAGTGTTGCAGATGACTCAAGGTTGGACCGTCTGACCGCTTGATCAATTTTCTTAGCTTTCATGGTCCAGCTGCTGACCCTATTCCTCCCTCTGGGATAGTTGGAAAAGCCTCTTCGCAGCTACTGAGTTGTTTTAGAAATCCCTGGTGATAAATGAGAGGCTGGTTATTACAGCTTACCGGAGTCCATTAGGAAAATTATGTTAAGGAATTCCTATCCCTTTCCATATAGTCTGGAGCCAGCCTGGTGGGGACTGAAATTGATCAGGTTTCCCCTCCCCCTGTAGAAGAACATATGGCTTGTTTTTGAAATAAGGCTATTTTAGTCTGTGGCTGGACAGTTTTTTCAACTAGGAAGGGGAAATAAAAATATTTAAATTAAAATAAAGATGGAGTGAGAGTCTCAAGTTGGTGATGATGGAGTTAAGTCCTATACATCAGATTTCAGTGGGATTAAAGGGTTGGTTTGAATCTAATGCAGTGGCTGTGTTTGCTCAACACCGTTAATCTGGTTGCTGTGTTAATTTATTTTCTAGGTTTATGGGTTAAACAGTAGATTAACCCATAAAGTCACCAAATTGGCTAGGTTTGCACAACACACTAAGTAACCTAAAACCTAAAGTTAATACTAGTTAAGCTTAGCAGCCACTTGGTCTTTCACTAACCCAGTTATCTGTAACAGTTAATACCCCTGTTCCCACAATATGTTTAACTAGACTGGGAGCTGATGGAATTTGTTGTGGAGACATGAAAAGGATCCGTTAACCTTTCAGCTAGCTCAGAGAACCCCAAGGACTCCACAGTTCAACCCTAAATTACACATATTTGCCTCTGTAGGAATTCCCAAGGGGTTAAATTTAGCCCCAAATAGACCCAGTCATGCATAAGGTTAAGCTAACTCTGCCCACTCATTAGCATTGTGGGAAACCCAGTCAATTAACTCATTTTGCCTACCTAGTCCTCCAGGAAAAAGAGCTAGTGGGAAAGAGTGGCTGAGAAAGTGAGCCTCTCTATGAAGAGTTCATGGCCAATGCAACATATACCTGCCAAACACTGATTGCAGCAGCCACGTCATGATGATTGCTGTCCGCCTGGCCAATGGGAATATCCAAACGATGTCATGAACCCTCATCAGTGTTTCCCTGGTGCAAAGGCTCATAAGATTGGAGATATTTCCTGAAGGAAGTTGGCAGTGAAGTGGCCATTTTGACCCAGCTAGTGTAATTGTGTGCCACTAGAGTCATTGGAAAGGAGATGCGAGTGGGCAAATGGGTGACTGGGTAGAAAGTATGTTTTGTAGAAAGTATGTTTAACAATATAATCTGCTGATCCTGTTCCCAGAACGAATGGCTTTGGAGTGGGGAAGTGTGGGCTCAGATCGAGGCACATCTGAAATCAGCCTCCAGCAAAGCTGAGCAAGATCCTTTTATTCTTAACATCCATTTTCCCAACTTGACTCTCTGCAAAAGGTTTGGGAATCTAGTTTGGAACAGAAGGTTCCCTGACCCAATAACACTGTTCTGCATTACTGACACATATCTTGCTCTCTTTTTCTTCTAGGACTGCCTTTGGCAAGGAGTCTGAAGTTCTCATTGGGAACCTGGGAGATAAGCTGATTCCCCAGCAAGAGATTCTCCGGGATGTCAGCGACCTAAAGGCATTGGCCAACATGCATGAGAGTTTGGAATGGCTCTCAGGCCGGGTGAAGGCTGCTTTTTCCAATCTTCCATTTGCACAGAGTGAGTGACTTCTGGGGACACAGAAACACAAATACAATTGGACCTTTGACTAGTTCCGTAACAAGCCAGATAGCTTGGTTAAATGGATGGGAAGTACATTTGATACCAGCAAAGGAAAATCCTGTGGTCATCCAGAATTTAATTTACAAAATTCACTGCTCCCAAATGTAGGGGTGATGGCTACCATTTATGATGGTTTTCAAATGAGATTGGATCAGGTGTGGTTAAAGGGTTGGATTAGGACCAAGGAAAAACATGTCCAAAGAACTCCTCAACCACAGGAGCCCAAAGAATTACTTTGGGCCAGTCCATCTCTCTCTCTCTCTCTCTCTCTTTTTCAGCCCAGCCTACCTTGGTTGTGAGCAGAATTGGAGGAGGGTGCATTGCATAAGCAACCTTGCACTCCTGGAGGAAAAGGCAGGATATTAATCCAACAAATTAAGTAAATAAAAATAAAATAGTAAATTAAAATAGGGTCCTGTGGATAATTCTTTCCATAGGACTTCAGCACTCTTATGAGAAATCAAGGATTGACCTTGAATTGCAGATACAAGCCATCTTAGTTAGGATGAAGATAGCTTTTACAAAAACAAAGAATCTGGCTTTCTATTATTGCCCCCAAGGTTTAAATCCTGAGTTTCCTTCTCCTGCCCTCCCACTGGTTGCACCTGGCCTTCGTCTATAAAATGGTCCTGTGTGGTCCCAGGACAGCTAAAATGTAGCAGATATTAGTGAAAGTGAAGCCAGAAGACTTCACATGTGGAAGGCCACAGCAGAAGGTCAGGAAGGAGAAATGAAAATGGACGTTGAAAAGTAATATAACACCTGCTCATAGCTTAATGATGGGCTGAAATCCCAGTGGAAGTCCATTGCTTAAGTAAGAAACAGGCTTCTGGTTTTCTGTAGAGTATTCTGTTATAACCTGTTATTATTTCAGAGTTAGGCAATGGATTTATTCCTTTTACCATTTCACACAATTTCTAAAAGAGTTTCCACACATCCAGTAAAGGTTTGGATCCTATGGGTAAGCATTATTCATTGTCTCAAAAGCACAGAGAAATGCACTTCTGCAGAAACTGCCTTCTGCTGAACCAAGGTGGGGTAAGGTAGCAGTCTTCAGACTTGTCCAAAAGTTGGGGTTATGATTCTTTATAAATGTGGTTGTACAACAGACCCACCAGCATGGGTGAGTTTATCCTTATTCTGTCAAAGGGTGCCTCCTCCTACAGATAAAAATTCAATAACCTTCTTTTCTGCATCTCTGCCACAATTATCACTCATTTAAAACCAGCTCAGCTAATGTGGTGTTTTATCATATCCCCTCCTGCCTGCTTTTCTTCATTATTTAATGTTTGCTAAGCTGATGACACTTCCATATCTGCACTGCTTCAGACTTGGATTCTTGTGTTTTCCAACCAGCCAGATAAAAGACTCATTTTTCTTTTTTCCAGAAGAGCAGGCTTTACCAACCAGGTGCCCTCCACTGGGGTTAGACTACCACATCCATCATTCCTAGCCCCTGTAGCTGAATTCACTGAAGAATGTTTTTCATTCACCCATAGGTTCACTCAGACTGTTGCTTGTGAAGCAGTGCAATTTGCAAACTAGTTTTGGTGAGAAAGAAACATTTGTCAGTTGGCCGGGGGACAGAACTTCAGAGAGAGAAGCAAGCTGATAGCTGGGAGACGGTCCCAAAGAATGCCAGAGCTGAAGTACAAGGAGATGGGCAGAATGGGGATGGGAAGGAGGTAATGGACTTGGAGCTCACACTACGCTTGATATTGAGGTAGCCCATTTTCTGAGTTCATGCAATACTCTGGACCTTAAACTAATCAAATGGGTTGCGTTGACTGAACACATAAACCTGGGATAATGAAATATTCTGCTCAAACAAATTATCTCTATTATGCCTAATAGTGATGCTGTGATGGTAGAGAAGGTGATGTCCTGGCTCATACAACCTGCTAAGATAATGGCTGGGTTGTGCTATAAAGTACCTGACCCTATTTAGCATGTTGAATGGATTCAGTTGTATCTGCCCTTCCTACTTTGGCTGTTGAAGCTGCAGATGAACCAATGGAGAGCAGTGGCAACCTCAGCAGGACTTTGTTAAGAGCTTGCCTTGCTTTGAGCAAACTAGGACCAGTGTCCCAAGAAGCACTATTCGAGTTCATTGCCCCTCTCTTTCTAGCCAGCAGCCAGCCTGAACCAGTGGAGGATAGGGCAAAAGAGGGTGGCTGCTGAAACAGATAATCTCCAATCTTAGGGATGAAACATTGGTTTTGCTGGATGCTTAGGCAGACAGTTCTGCCCTGTCTCCTCACTGGAAGGGACAAACACTCTGGACAAGGATGTGGAACAGAGTAATTCATCTAGCAGACAGATTAGAAGGAATCCTGGAATTGGCATCATAGATGTGGCAGCCAGTTCTCCATGGCTGGTATAATCTTGAGCTAATAAGGTGAAGCCTTCCTCAAGTAAAATTCAAATCCTGATGAGCACATGACACGTTCATCAACAGTATGGGCATGATTTACCATTGCCTTCTTCTGAAGTGTTTTTTTCAACTTCCCAGCCTTGGTACAGCCCAGGCTTCTTGGTGATCTCCAAGTACTAGCCAGGTCCCATCCTGCTTTTCCTTGTTAAGATCAAGCAAAATTGAGTTGAGAAGAGAACTGGAATTGGGACTTCCAGGGGAAGTATGGTGAAATGAAGACAGCTCTGCGAAAGCGAAGTCGTTGACCACGGCAAAGACCAAGGAACCAGCAAGTAGAATGGTTCCTTGGAACCTCTCTGAATAAGGAGAGGACAGGAGATGGCCCACATGTGCTCTGGACAGCTGCTCCTCACTAGGAGAGCTCAGGACAGCAGTTTTCCATGGATCTGAGCGCCAGGAGGCAACAGGATTAGCTATCTTGCTCACAGAATTTAAAAAATCTGAAATAAATAGCAAAAAGCTAAATAAGATTTTAATCTTAGAAAGTTATAAACAGACTGAGGATCCAGATAAAATTGGAATATTGAAACTTTTACAATTAGATTTTGGAATTAATTATAAAAAACAAACAGCTTCTCATGAGAAAAAGATTCTGTTTAGGTTTTTACAGGACAAAACAAAGATAAGCAATTTCATGATTTCAAAAACTGGGCACTAGAGGGCACTAAGGTTCTGAGGTAGAGGAAAGATTTACAAACCTGCAAAATGTTCTCACAATGAAAATACTGAAGGAAACTTTTGAAGAATAGAATCAGAAAATAGTAGCCACAATATCAAGAATATCAGTAATGAAGTCTGCTTCTATGGATAGACTATGTCTAAAAAATGTTATTGAAGAAATTACAGATGTAGAACAGATTTTAGCTGACAAGACAGATAGTATCAAAAGTGGATTTACAACTGAGAGGCCAAGAGAATGACTTGGAAAAGGATGTTTCACTGGATCTACAAAAGAAATTGGCTGAGACTTTAAAATTTAAGATGAAAATTATTTGTTTTAATAGGGGTATTTATATTTTTATTCTTTTTATTGTCTTGGTTTTTAATTGTAAGCTGCCCAGAGTCACCCTCTGGGGGAGATGGGCGGCATATACATTTAATAATAAACAAACAAACAAACAAATAAAATCTAAGCAACAAATCAAGAGAGTGACCTGAATAATTTTTTTCTACTGGATTTACAAAAGAGGCTTGTTAAAGTCTTGAAGAACTCTGTGCGATGGGACAAAGAAGAAATGAAAAGCAATCAAATCCTGTGACAGCATTTGAATGAACTAAAGATTAAGATGGTTAGAAGTAAAAGGAAGAAATATAATGTTGGTTTATTTGATCAAGGTTAAAACAAGATATGGTGTTACCTCTGGCAACCCTTTACGGGCTTTCTGATGACACCAGAGATGAGATGATGTTTTATGGATTTGTTTATAGATAAGAGATGGGATATGAGATGAA